TCTGTGGGCTGTTGTTTGTTGGGGCATAACAGGTGTGGGTGCTCCTTGCTTGTTTCCAGTCGGCTTCACCCAGAAAAAGCTCTCTGCCTTGGGACCAAACAACCTTGTCTGAATGCTTGCCACAGAGGGCCAATGATCACCTGGACAGGATTGTGTAACAAAACAGTCTCTTAAAATAAATTCCAGCTTCAAGTCCATGGAGAACTCAACAGCTGTATGCCACAGATCACCACCAGGTGGCACTTGCTGGATTATCAGTGCCCATCACATAGGAGTAGCTCCTAATACACTGAGAGGAAGTGATTTGGGCCTAATGGGGCAAGACTGGCAAGTGCTAATTTAGTCATTTGAAATGATAACTGGATTTCCCTTGATGGCTTTGAGTTTACTTCTCCCACTGTGTGAGTACTGTGTGGCGAGAGCTGAAATAACTTCAACAGCGTTACAAAGACTAGACAGACGGCTCTGGTGGTCATCACTTCACCCCCAGTTGAGGGAGAAGCAGAAAAGCAGCTGAGCACTTAAAATGCTTGTTTTAATTGGGGGACAGAGGGGATAGGCTGCTTCTGGGAGCCAGGTGTGGCTGTAGGCAAAACAGTGAGATAGCTTCAGTGTGTCTGTATCTCCCTCTCCCTTTGCTATCCATCTGCATCCCTCCCAGATAGCCAATCATGCCCTTGACCAGCTGCAGCATGCCGCCTTGTTGCCTGGGCCTCCCATGGGCAGCAGGGAGGGTCACAATGATGGATTAGGGTGAGGAGCGGCGCAATGAGCTGGAGGCTCTGGAGTCCCCTTTACCCTGACTCCACAGTGTTACCAGAGACTTCATCCGTGTCCCCATTACTGTGACATGTAAGCCTGTCCACACTACGCTCGTTTGTTTATGTACAGTGAAAAATACCCAGATGACACTCCCTTCTATGAAATATTCTCCCAGGAAAATGTAGCAGATAATGATGTTTGAGACACTTTAAAATTACTATCATTGCAGGCAGAAGAAACCTTGGTATAATAATGATCTTTAGCATCAGCTGTGCAAGAAAAATTAAGTGAAATAGTAGACCTAATAAAAAGTAGAAGAGGAGAAGGAAAAAGATGAAAAGTAACGCTATTTCATGGCACTCCTGTTACAATCAAGAATGTCTTAAGTTGGAAGGCCGAGTTTGATGCAGAACTCTTGGAAATGAAAAAGAAATGAAAGAGGAGGAGCAAGCAGGAAAAAATATAAATTAAGTAGGAAATGACTATTCTAAGCAGATCATCATCTCAGTACATCTGATATCCAATTCTTGGAGGATGCTGGAAATCATGTGGAAGTAGATGAGTCCTTGTTCCAGGAAGTGGAAGATTTGGAGTTAGAGGCTGATGAGGCTGATTCAGACTAGAATTCTGCCGATCCAGAGCGGGACCCCATGGACCCAAGGACTCCCCCATGTGCAGAGGGGTGTGACTGCCACCGCATCTGTGGCTGTGCTCACAGGGCTTTGAGTTTCCATTTTTTTCCTAAGAAAAAAGTCATTTTCAAGAGAATGCTCTTCTGATAACTTTCATCATTGAGTTTATATACTGACCATAAAATTTAAAAAATCATATGCTTGCTAAATTGGGTGGAAGAGTGGGACGAAGTAGGGGCGAGGAAAGCCTGTTTCCAATATTTGACACAGACCCATCATAGGTCATTGCTCTTCAGGCAACTCAATGCTTTTGCGCTATTTGATGGAAATGTTAGCCTTTGCTTTCCTGACCCTAAAGTCGCTGTTACTGCGGTGGACAATCCAGGAGGGTTGTTCTGCGTCTCTGCAAGCACCTCCCGCTAGCCTTAGTGGAGCAGCAGGCAGCGTTCTAGATAGAAAGGCTGGGAGGAGGAATCGAAAGAAAAGACCTAGATAAGCTAAGACCTATTACATAGGCTGTAGTGGGCAAGTCGTTACAAAGCTGAATCGTACCAGGGAGACCTAGCATCTTTTCCTGTACTACCATTTATACACCAGATGGGGAGAAATCTTCCACGGTGAGACCTCTACCTCTTCAGTATGATCATCTGTGATTTCCTCCATCAGGCTTAGGGTCTTCTCTCCATCAGCTGTCTAGCCACCCCTCTGAATTTCCTTCTGATATAGACTGGGGTTACTAGGCTCTTCCAAGCCCACATCTCTATGAGCTTACATCCAAAGGCCTTTCCTCTAGTGTTTACGTGTCAGCTGACCTTGTATGCTCAGGATTCAAGAGGCAGAAGGGATGGGAAATGAGTGGAAGGAGTCCTTGCATTCTCTCACAGAGGGTCTGGGTACCCTCTTCTCTGTGTGCTGTGAGGCTTAGAGTGTCTTGTAAAAAACAACACCACCCAACTGCAGACCGTCAGGGCGTCTTGATTGGCAAGATGAGACCTGCGGCATATATTCTTACATGGTCTTTTGTTCTCTACACCTGGTTTGTGTGATTCTGTTTCTATTCTGTTTCAAGCCTCTTCCCTGGCTCTTTACGGTATCTTGTCCAGCAGCACCTGGATCTGCTTCATGCGCTGCAGGAAAGGGTCCTGAAGTGGCCACGCCAAGGAGTCCTTGGAGATTTATTCCTGAAATTGACAAATGATGAGGTGAGTTTTTGTTCATTCCTTCATCAACTTAATTATGTGACCGTCTCTCACTCCTCTGCTTCTGGTTTTCTTGGTGAGCACCTGGAATCAGTGACTATCAGAGCGGGAAGAACTGGAGATCTGGGTGAACCTCCTCATTTAATGGACGGTGGTAAGGCCCAGAGAAATGACAAGACTGCTGAAATCACCCAGCAAACTACACAGTCGGGACCTGATGCTAGAACTCAGGCCTTCGAACGTCTAGTTCATCACTTTCTTCTGTCATGTACTGCCTCTGCAGTCCCTGGGGGTGGGGCTGGTTAAAAGCTAGTGTGCTCAGTCACTAATAGGATGATCACCTGCTAATAGAAAAGTTGGGAGGTACATGTCCAACCAGGGGTTCCTTGGGAGAAAAGCCTGAAGTTCTACTTTCAAAACGATCAGCCATGACACACATGGGGTCGCCATGAGTCAGAATCAATTCCAAGGCAAATAGAACAAAGCAACCAGTTAGAGAGACACAGAGAGAGAAGCCATGGTGGTACTGCCAAGTACACGTTGGACTGCTTGCTCCAAGGTTATCAGTTCGAACCTAGGACCTGCTCCTCGGGAGAGAGATGACACTGCTCCTGTGAAGATTTACAGAATTACTATGATTCACAATAGACTTGATAGCAGTGAGTTTGGTTTATATATGTATACAAGTGTTTACATATACTATATGAAGTTTGTATATGTCTATGCATCTCCACACACAATTTTCCCTCTTTAGAGATCTTTAAAAATGTGACTGGAAGCTATTGAATGCTTTTTTATTTTTCACTTGCACGGAGAAAGAATGCAAAGTCTTAAAATCTCTAGAATGTCTTACAAAAGGAAAATATGACCCAGGCCAAAAGTTACAAACTCAAATGCCTCTAAGACCAGACAGTGACCTAAACGAACAAGGTGAGCTGAGTGACGTACAATACTCATATGTACATTATGGACTGGGGGGAAGTGTGCCGAGGGAAGCACGTGTTCCTGCTACAAGGAAGTACTACTCAGCTTTATCCAATTATGATGTGAGAAAGGAGCACACAAGTTGCCAGATCTTCTGATATTTCAAGAGAAGGTGGAAATCTAGACTTTTTTTTGGAAATCTAGACTTTTATATGAAACTTTCTCATTAAAAAAATACTCTGTGGGCCAATTAAGACTGGTATGCAAACCAGATTTTGTCTGCAATAGATCTCTGTACGTCAATGATTGACAACCGTGGATAACAAATGTGTTACTGAATGATTTACTTGTATAGATTAGAGTGGATTTAACCCTATGCTTCCAATTTCCTTCTTACTCACTTGTACTATGATTTCTTGAGCTGAGAATTGGTGTGCTAATGTAAATGTATCAGGAAGCTGAGAATTGTTTTCTTGAGGGGTTTGAAAGAATATGTCTTCCCTTGCAGGAAAAAGTTAAGAGCCCTTGGTCTAGATAGACAATATGAGGTGGGTTGGATCCAAGTTCCTCACTTGGATCTAGAGGGTTAAAATGAAAGGGGCTTTGTATATATACATATTTATCATTTGATAAGTAAAAATTAACTTTTCAGCTTACATGACCCACCCCCACTTCCTTTGTTGATATTATTTAGCTTTCTCTCAATGAAGTAGAGTTATTGAATTAGGGTTTCCAACTCCATAGCAATCTTTATCTTACAACCAAAAAATGATTTTTAAAAGATAAATTAAAAGTCCCCCCAAAGTATTAACAAACATTAAATAATTAATAAACATGAAAAAAGAATGGTAAAAACAATCTCTGCAAAGTACCCCTTTTGGATATACATGGCTCTATGAGAATGTGAGTTCCTTGTTCCCCGGTCTTACAATGCCTTTTTGTTTTCAAGAACAATTTCTTGGACTACTATGTTGCCTACCTGAGGGACCTGCCTGAATGCATCTCTTTGGTTCATGTTGTTGTGCTGAAGGAGGTGAGTTCACTGTGCGTATGTGCCGCCCTTTGCTTACAGCGGCAGCGGCCCGATGCTGCCCATCCACTCAGCAAGTACTTTAGCTTGTTTTCCAAACTGGAAGATGGAACAGATCCACTGAATCCCTATCAGGAATTAGAGGAGCCAACTAAGGGATCTGTGTTGTTGCTTTAATCTTCTCCCGCCTTTTCCGGCCCTCTGTTCTGTCCCATTGGACCCACACACAGATCAGCCAGCTGTCCTAAGTAGAGATCTCTGCAGGGTGCCGCTTGCAAGCTATACATGTTTTTTTCTGTTTCTCAAGTTCAGAAGCTAGGAATTTGACTGTTAAACTCAGGTCCCCCTTTGCCAGTCAGTAAAGTAACTCTAGTCGTGTTGCTAGTGGTATACTAGGTGCTCAATAAACACATCTAAATATATAACAATTCTAGTTATTTAAGATCAGTTGGAATAAATATCAGAAACCCTAAAGCTAAGAGTTAAATTTCACAAGAGGTAAAGAATTTTTTTTCAAGAGGTAAGCAACTTTGTCTTATTAACCTTTCACTTCAACTCCCTCCTCACTCCCAACCCAGAACTTACCTATCACACATTGTTGTTACTCTGTCATTGAGTTGATTCAAACTCAGAGAGCCCCCACGTGTGCATGGCCACAGTAGAACTGCTCCGCAGGATTATTAAGGCTGGGCTTTCAGAGATTACCAGGCTTGACTTCCAAGCTGCCTCGAGGTGGGTTAGGACTGCCAACCTTCTGGTGAGTGGGGAAGCACTTATTGTGACATCCAGGGATTCCCTAGCTTGTGCTGCTTACTGCTGTTGTGTCAATTTTAACTCAACAGTGACCCCATTTGGGTAGAGTAAAAGTGCTTCATTGGGTTTTCGAGACTGTAAATCTTTATGGGAGTGGATAGACTAATTTTCTTCCTTAGGTGTGTGTTCTCTAGGGGAACAAAAGCAGTGTGCACACGTGTGCGTGTGCGTGCACGCGCACACACACACACACACACATATTTATACAGCAAGAAGAAATATCATAGCTAATTAGTCCACACAGCAGTACAGAGGGATCAGTCCAACTCACTTCCATGGAACAGATAAGATACTACTGGGAGTCCTTCAACTCATGAAGGCTGCTGGGTAGAAGGTCAAAGAAGCAGACAGGAGAGTCCTCCCTCAGGCAAGGCAGGCAGAGTCTGCCCACAGGCAGCAAACTGCAGGGCTCAGGAGCTTAGTGAAGCAGGCCCGATGCTATATTAAGGTGACCAGATGTTAACATTGGTAAAGTGGGACACCATTGATAAAAGTCATATCCTGGTGAAATAGCCACATGGCAGCCGAAAACTGTATGCCCTAGCTTGTCGTGCATTCTTTCCAAAAATCGGGACTTTAAAAAAATGCCACAGGACAAGGGAAAAATTGTTAAAAATCAGGACTGTCCTGCCAAAAGCGGGACGTCTGGTCACCTTATGCTATACTCAAGCTATGCAAGGCTATGCTCAAGCTATGCATGCTCAAGCTATGCAAGGCAACGGGATCCACCCACCTCAAACTCAAGCGATGTATGCACTAGCAGCATGGCAAAGCAAGTCTCAAAGGAGCCTTAAGCTCACAACATGATCCACAGGCTGGCTTGGCCCACAGGTAGTGTAGCTTACAGGTTGAGGCAGAGAACTAGCTGGTCTGAGAAGAGGGGACCGGACCTTGCAGAGCCATTTATCTCTTTGCCCTTCAAGCAAACTGTGACCTGATTAATCCCACGTTTCTATTGGCACAGTAAACTTAATTATCACAGGGGTGGCTGGTGCATTTAAACCACTTTCCTTGAGGTTGGCAGCTCAACCTTTAACCTATGGTGCCACCGAAGCCCCTTACCATGTTAGCACTCATTAAATATTTGAGAAAGAAGAGAACAGAAGGGAAGAGTCATGGAGAAAGCCCAATGTTTCCTGCTGCTAATTTCAACTACTCCCACGCCCTCCCAACTTTCATGAGACCCTGGGGACTCTTAAAGTTTATTAGTAAAGTCGTTATAACGATTACTTGGAGAGCCTTAGTGAATTCTTTCAACTTAGTCATGATTTGTTGAGTGCCCACTCCGGTCTTTCACAGTTCTAAGTTGTAGCCAATGGAGGGATTCGTTTGGAAAGTTGAATAGATTCAAATAAGTAGAAGATGGGGCCCGCTAGGAAACGCTGTCTCCTGGAGTATGTCCTTAAACATGTCTGTGGCCTCTTCCATGAGAGATCAATGCTGCCTGACAACTTAGAAGAAGAAAATGCTCGGCTAGTAAAGGCTTCTTACTCCCGTGGGACTGATGGCTGACTCCACCTTTTCTTTCCTTCAGGGTGATGAAGAGATTAAATCTGACATCTATACACTGTTTTTTCACATAGTCCAGCGCATCCCAGAATACCTGATACATTTGCAGGTAGGCATGGCTCGGCAAGCCACCACACTGTTTTTCATGTGAGATAATTAGATTTGGTGTTCAACTAAGGAACATGGTAAAGTCAAGGAATCACTAATATTTTCAAGAGATGTTTACATGATGTAGATCATTATGATTACTTTGTGTTAGATCTGCGGCGTGAACGATATGTCCTTACTTTTGAAATGTTTTTTATTTTAGTGCCTTATAGCTGCCTTTCAAGTTCTTTCTTCATTTCTCAGCCATTTCCACCTCTGCTGATCCAGGATCCTGATCAGCTCCTGCTAGATTCTGAGCACTTTCTTTGGTTCTACAGTCATCGAGGAACTATCTGGCTAATCAGCCCACTTAGTTGGTGATTCCTAAAAATATATAAACATATTCTTATCAAACAGAGAGGTCAAACTTCCCTTTTTACCAATTCCGACACCAGGGGACTCCCATGGCATTCCTTACTACTCGGCCGAGTTCAATAATTCATGGCAGTGGCCATAAGAGCTGACAGGCAGTACAATTATGGGTTTGTTAGGGAAGGAACAGGTTACGACTTAGGAGCAGAAAGGACTCAGGATATAGTTCTTTGATTGGGACCGCTCACAGGCAGGCCTCTCTGTCTCTCAGCCTCTTGGCCTGGCCTTTACTCTGCTCATACAAGTGTTACAAAGCTCTTTAGCCCCACCTTGGAGGCATTCAGGTCCCCTGGGGAGACTCGCCTGAAGATGCTCAGCTTTTTGGCTCTGTGAGCACTTGTCAAGTGCCTGAAACCACCCCACTCAACTTCCTAATGGAACACACTCAGATCCATGGACTGGGAAGTTCACTCTGCTACTTCCTGCCAGTCTTCTATTGCTCCAGCTGCTGCTCTTTCTCTACTGCTGTTTCTCATTGTCACTCCTTATCGCTGGTGTTACGACTATCTCCTGGAGCTAGGAGGTTCCCAGAGAATCCAGGTCCAAAGGATGTTCTCTGCTCCTGTCTCTTTGTGAAGTCATGCCCTCCCATCTGCCTCTGCTGGGTTCATTTTTAAGCCTTAGTGGGATGACCAATTTCCTCATCAGAGTTCCAAACATCTTAATTGCCTGATCCCACCCCCAGCAAGTTACCATGCACTGTATTTGCACTATTTGCAAGCTGGCCAATTATCTTATGGCTCCAAAGCATTCATTTGCTTAGTCCCACCCATTCATCTGGTGAGTTAAAAGACATGGTGAGAAACTCACTGGCATGGAGTCAATACCGACTCATAGGGACCTCCTGTGGGTTTCTGAGACTGAAGACTGTAACTGTTTACAGGAAAAAGCCATTCATCTAGTGGGAGTTACAAATCCATGTTGAGAAAGTTTACATAGAAGTGATCTATTGCAACTAGCAATTCTATTATTGTTAGGTGCCATCAAACTCATAGTGACTCTGTATACCATCGGAGCCTTGCCAGCTTCACAATTGTTATGTTTGAGCCCATTGCTGTAGCCACAATGGCAATAGTGACTTATTTTGTCTTGGACTAATGAATAAATGGAGCAACAAGTCTAACCTTTCAACTAATATTTTGATGGGCATTTGTATTGTTAGTTGTATTGATTAAAGGACTACCATGCTTTCACAATAGATTAAAGCAATGTGCAAATGACCTTCATTCTACTAATGCAGCGTGGCTTCCCTTTGTCCTCCATTCAGAATGTCCTGAAGTTCACGGAGCAAGAACACCCTGACTATTACTTACTTCTCGTGTGTGTTCAGCGCCTCCGAGTATTTATCTCACACTACACCCTGCTGTTTCAATGCAATGAGGATTTGCTTATTCAGAAACGGAAAAAGCTCAAGAAGTAAGGTTTTGATTGTGGTATTAATTTCTTCTAGAATTAATGTCTGGCTACTCTCAAAGAGTTGGAGATTAAAGATGTTCCAAATGTGCAACTTTTCTAAGATGCTATTGTGCTCCCTTCACCCTACCTCCCACCCCCATGCCCTGGGTAAATTTCTTTACATCCCTGGGCTCTGTGATTCTCTGCAACGTCCCTCAGAAACAGCACTTTGAGGAAATGTCTCGTGGTAGTGGATGCTGTTCAGTCTCAAATCTGAAGGTCAGGTAGAGGCAAGCCAAATGCAAAGTCCCACGCCAGAAGCACCAAATGTCCAAAAGTCACAGCAGGTCTTCTGGCTTCTACTAAAGTGCAGTCAGGAAATAGGGGTGTGGCTTTCCAGGTGAGCCGATGTGTGTTATAACCATAATATATATCTCCCACAAAGGAAGCTGTCTCAAGTCACACTCTCTACTAAGGTAAAGTCAAAGATGCCCCCAAGGAAACAAAATGAGACTACAGCCACAGGAATATAAAGTCCACAGTTATATCATATAAGGAATTATGACTTGACAGGCCATATTAGTTGACAATAATTTACTGATGTTGCCAAGTGGAGGGTCTATCAAGGGTTCTGAGGGCAGGGAAGTAGCTCAGTCAGACTAGGTGTCTGTCACAGCATAACATAGTATATTAAGGAGCTGAAATGCATTGATGGGGGAAGGGTGTGGGGACAGAGGAGAAGAGGGAAGGGGGAGGGGAAGGAGGTAACCTGGCTGGCGACGACTAGGAGGAAGTTACTTTAGAAAAGAAAGTAGGTACTTTTACCTTAAATGCCTATGCAGATTTGCCTCGTCTCCCACATTTCTGACCCCTCAAAAATAGTTTGGTTTCCTTAAACATGCCCAATTCAAAATTGTAGTTCACAGGCCACAATGTGGTTTCATGAATTCAGTCTATAGGTATCGAGCAACCGCTCTGTACTAGGTTCTGTCTGCAAGCATTGACTATACCACATGGAAGAAAACAGACAATAGCCACATGGAATTTATTTTCCCCGAGCTAGGTAGTCAATGGATAATCAAATTAAGAGAATCAATTCTGTGGGTGCTTCAGTCCAGGAAACAATGCTCTCTCCCACCTAATGTGGCCCCCAAACTCATTTTGGTCAGTCAATCTGTTCTTTATCATGTTCATCAGCCAGCTTGCACCCTACTGTGTAGGTAACCTGGTTAAAGAAAGCCCCGGTGAAAGACTTGCGGGACTGAACTTCCTCCCAGAAGCATTATCTGTCCATGTGGCATAACTTACAGGTTCAGAGACTCGATTTCCCATTGCACATCTTGAGAATGATTGCCTCTATTCTGTTAGGTCATCCCTGGCAAAGCTGTACAAAGGCCTGGCTTCCCAATGTGCAAATGCTGGGCAAGACACTTCCTCCACCACAGGCCCTGAGGCTGTCCGGGACAGTGGGATCCATTCAGAAGAGATGATGCAACCCTACCCTTCTGCTCCTAGCTCTGGCCCTGCTGTCACGTAAGCACCTATTGCTGTAGAACGGATGATGGCAGAGTCCTCTGGCTCAGGTAGCTGGGTGGGGTAGTAAGGCAGCCTGGATCCGGCCATTATGTAGTTGCCAATGTTTGACCTGATACCAGGGCCCCAAAAAAGGCACTCGTGTTAAGGAGTAGGCCCAGCTGGGAGTTGCTCCCAACAATTTTACCACACGCAGCTGCTCTCCGCCTCCAGCCCGAGTCTCTTGATTTTGCACAATGATAGATTTTAAGAGAGAGCTGTAAGAGAACAGGAAGGTATTTTATAGCCCCTCAGAAAGGTGGGCACCAAGGTAAAGCCTCCAAAAGATAGAGTGGAGGGAAAGAGAGGCCTAGGCCAAGGTCTGAGGAAGCTTGGGTTCGGAGGAAGAGGTGACACGGAAAGAATGTTGCCTTGTTTTTGGTTCTCCTGTTAAGCTCCTTCAGGAAGGACAACTTCCAAAGTTCTCTTCACCAAGGCTGACTGCTTTCCTGAAAGCTCTTCTGGACAGTGTAAGGATTGTCACCTTAATGAGGTCTTTGAACACTAACAACCTTCTAGCACACTAAGCTAGGCCAGTTTAGGTGTCTATCTGAGTCCTCATTCAGTAAACATCTTAGGAATCCTTAGAGTAAGGGTTTATGTAACTCAAACTCGTTTTACCTCTAGAAGTTAAGAACAAAGGCAACTCTATGGCTTTTCAAACTGGGATTTCTAGAGACTAAAAATTCCAAATTCCCCCTTTATCAAACATAGACTGTCCTCACAAACTTTCTTAGTCTTTTATTTCTTTTAGGGTCTTCATTACCTTAAGGCAAACTTAGAAGTTATGCAAGTTCTTTCTTAAAATTTACTATAGAGTGACATGTAGGAGGTTTGAGATGACTTCAACTTTTAATCACTACCGTTTTAGAATGCCAATTGTAATAGCTGGAAACAGCAGCTGACCAACACCATGAAAGGAAACTTTGCTTAACTCTATTCCCTCATCTCTTTTATAAGAACCTTTCTCAGAGAGATGGAGGTGAAAATGTGGAGATGGAAGTGGGTAATGGGATCATGCTGAGGCCCATGAGACTTTAAATAAATAATAAATAGGGCTCAGAATGATTTGCTTCCTAAAAAGAAGATTCACAGAAAAAGTACTTTTTCTGCTAAAGGTGGGGAAGACAGGCAGGAAATGGCTATTTACTTTGTGGATTTCTTCAACTCCTGAGTCAATAATAAAACTTTGAAGTGCAACAAATAGACACTCTCACTCCCCAATGAAATCCCAGACCAAACAAGATAGCTGTCATCACACTGCAGAGAGAGTAGCGCTCTTGCACAATCACAACACACAAAACCAAACAAAAATTCCTCAATAACGCTCTTCCAAGTCAAAAGAATTCCAGGTCGGTCAATATTTTGTTTCACTACTTCTTTTCACATCTATAAATGTGAGGCCTGGTTTTCATTTTAAGATCACCAAAGTAAACTCTCAGTGTTGGCTTCCACATTCTCTTTATGCTTTTTTTTTTGTAGAATTTTAAAAATGAACTCCCAATCAAATCCATTCGGATCAGTATGCAGTTAAGGAATCCAATTACATCTATCTGGCAACTATGTGCCAGCACAAAGGGAGACTCATGTCTGAATAACGGGTTTGTTGTGGTATTATATAAACTATTACTACTTATCCATGACTTAAAAAAATTAAAAGCCTCAAGGGAGCTGGGCAGATTCAGTGATAGCGTTCACATTTTGGTAATGCTTTTGTGGGTGGCAAGTCAGATGACGGACACGGCATGCCTTTTTCATTTATCATGAAAATATCACATATTCATAGGTACAGTGAACTCTACATGCCCACTGTCCAGATTCATCGGTTTTCCAGATCTTGTCACGTTTACTTCCTATGAGAACTCACAATTCGTTTTACGTCTGAAAAGTCACGAGTAGAACCAAAGTCGAGTTTCCATGATTTTGTAAGGCAGCAAAGCAAGGGGAGAGAATCGAAAACAATGGTGCTTGGGACACTGACAGGTGCCCAGTGGTGGGCAAGGAAGGTCACAGCTTCCACAAGGGGAGTGATGGCCGTCCTGCTTACCAACCACCGCTACGTTGGGATATTAGGAGGAGGATTTCGGGCACCCGTTTGACAGAGCACAAGTCCACTTTCCCATGGGGGCCTGGGGCTCATGAGAATTCTAAATCGGATACGCTTTTAGGAGCTGCTAGTAGCAGTGTTTTGAGCCGTGCTGGGAGTGGATCTCGGGCAAGCCCTCGGGAAGAGTCCTGCAGGAACAAACCGTAACACACCTGTTTTGTATTGTCTCCCTTCTAAAGACATATGCTGGCCCCCGCGAAGAAAAGCCAGCCACAGCAAAACCTGATGGAGAGCATGCAGCCCGGCAAGCCCAGTGACTGGGAGCTGGAGGGCCGAAAGCACGAGAGGCCCGAGAGCCTCCTGGCGCCCGCGCAGTTCTGTGCCGCCGAGCAGGACGTGAAGACGCTCGCCGGGCCCCTGCAGGCCATCCCCGAGATGGACTTCGAACCCGCGCCGGCCGAGCCGCTGGGCAACGTGGAGCGCTCCCTGCGCGCCCCAGCCGAGCTGCTGCCCGACGCCCGCGGCTTCGTGCCCGCTGGCTACGAGGAGTTCGAGTATGGCGGCGAGATCTTCGCGCTGCCCACGCCCTACGACGAGGAGCCCTTCCAGGCCCCGGCCCTCTTCGAGAACTGCTCGCCCGCCTCGTCCGAGTCCAGCCTGGACATCTGCTTCCTGCGGCCCGTCAGCTTCGCCAAGGAGGCCGACAGGCCCGAGCACCCGCTGCAGGCGCTGCCCAAGAGCGCCA